AATTGTGTGTAAATATGGGTAAGAGTGAAGATGAGATAGAGTGGTAAAAAGGGGCAATTGTGTTTGGCCGTGCCAATGGTCATATGGTGAATAAAGTTGCTGGATTTTTTGGCGTTTCAAAGCTGACTGTTCAACGTGTCCACAAGCAGTGGTGTAATATACGTGGTCACGAAACACGACGTCAGAATTGTGGTCAGAAAAAGATCCTGCATGAAAGTGACCGGAGACGCGTTTCACGACTTTTCAATCAAAATCGCTTCCAAACTGGACAGGAATTACTTCAGTTATTAAATGAAGATCCATCCCAGTCTTTTAGGGAGAAAAAAAATTGCGAATGGAGCTGCATACAGTGAACATATGGAGTCGAACATCTCGTAAGAGGTCATTGCTCGCACTTGCACATAAGATGACAACAAGTTGATTTTTCAAGATGACAACAGCAAAGTTCATGGGGCTGGAAGTATATGTGACTGGCTTTATGAACACTCAGACACTCAATTACATCTCGGCTGGCCAGCAAAATCACCTGACTTGAACCCCATTAAAAATTTGTGCGACATGTTGGAACAACGGGAAAAACGCCAAAATCAGCATTCTCACAATTTGGTGAATTTGCGCGATTAAATCCTCGACGAGGGGCTTAAACTGGATTCGACTTCCTAACCGAATCCAGGCAGTCATCAAATCTAAAGACGCTGTTACACGTTATTAAATGATCTTTTTCATGATTTCTCAAAGGGTGACTAATTTTTTGTCAGGTGAGCTTATGTACTATAAATTTTTTTCGTAAAAATAACTTTTAAGATCACGGCAGCTGTTGTGTTTTATTAGGTTTAGAAAGGTAGAAAACACTAAATAATTAAAGAATTTTATTTTTCTTTAAGTATATTTATGAAAAGAATATTGATACGACATTTGTGTGTATCAAAGTTTATTACCTATCCAAAAAACTTAAAGGAGTGCTCAGCTCTGAGAATAATTCACTGTAACTTTTAACAGCCTTTTTGCTTATCTCTTTTGTGCTGCCAACTGAGGCCTGCAAAAAAGATATGAATTTCCCAGGATCATTAGATATTCAATTACTGCATGGTGACACTTCTAAAGAGTATGCATGCAATTATCTTAATTCTATAAGTTTTAGTATTTAAATCGATACCAATTTATTAAAACTTTTACAGAATCAGAGCAGTTTGCATCCTTATGTAATTTATTAGTATTTTAATAAACTAGAATATTGTCCAGCACTATGCAAAATCATTTAAACTAATATATTAAAGATCAGATAAACAAATGATCGTGTAAAATTCGAACAGAATTTTTTAACAATCCTGTTTACTTTCTGGTTCAGTTCATTGCCACAGGAAAAGTAATTGTTTTCATATCAAGTGCTGAAGGATATATATGCAACATCTAAAATAATAGCTCAGCAAAACCTAAGAAGAATTATATTTCTTGGACTAGCTCTTCTAACAGATAATTACTTTAAATAATCTCTTTCACGTAATAATCGAATCACTTCTCGTATAAATTATCATTAATTAGTGAGAAATGCAATCTTTATTTATTAAATGAATCTAAGCTGTGCAGTAAAAAGTCTTTATGTAAAACGTCGTAATATCATTCAATATAATAAATATTTTGGAATTTTAATGCATCTTCATCCGATTTTATGATTAAATCTTACGACGTCAACTCAAACAAAGAAGTCCTTGTTATGGATCACATGACATAAAGGAAATAATAACTATATGCTGCATGCGAAAAAAGTGCGCACTTGTCTTGTGCGCACTGTGAAAGTCTTCAGGAGCTTCTGTTCCGTGTACATTAGTAAATAGTTTTCTTTAATCACTTTTTCTTCATAAATGTTAAATAAAAATTTTAAGGAAATCATCATTACATTAAAATCGACTGCAAAATAAAAATCTGACAATTTAAAATTAAAATTGAACTAATCTCTGATATTTTTGTCCTAAAAGGTTAACTCGGTACCATAGCATAACATATATATGCATTTCAATATCTTTCCATTTTACTTCATATGGATTTTTAAAATTGTTAGAACTAACTACTTACCTTTATAAGTTTGATTAAATCTTTTTGATCTTCTTCCCATGTTATAGAACTTATAGCAAACTAAAGGAGGAAGGGAAAAAATGCATTAATTACTGGTCTACAATTTGACGCGATAGAAAATTATAAGAAATATACAACCTCTTTTAAACATCTGTGGCCGTGTCTTGCAATGAAATTCTGATACAGTTTCCTTGACTTTGTATTTGAATTGTTCAACCAGTTCTGTGCCTCCTATAAATGAGTAAAATTAAAAAACTCCTTTAAGGTTTTTTTTTTTTTTTTTTTTTTANTTTTTGAATACGAGGCGGCTAAGTCCCCAGATCATTGCCGCTCAACAACCCCTTTGATTGCTTCGCATTAATTGTTGTTTCGTGGTGGAAAACAGTTTTCTACTAAAGTTAAAATTATTCACGTAACATCTATGTACTAAAACAAATTCTGTTTGCTAACGCTTGTGGCTTCATTTACCGCGTCCAAATATTATTATCTAGTAGTATTATAAATATTTAGATCAGAACATATTTAGGTGAACAGAAGTAATTTTTCCCAACTAATCATTTTTTGAAATAACATTTATATTGTTACTAGCTGACTCGGCAAACGCTGTTTTGCCATATGAATTATTTCTAGAGTATGAAAATTTATCTCATTTATTGTAAATGTGTGCGTATGTGGTATATGAGTGGAGGAGGCATGGAGCGCTGTGAACGATGACGGAATGTGAAAATAACAGCACACTAAATAATAGTTTTTTAAATTTATTGTAACTTTTTTTATAAATTATATGTACAACGAATTCTGAAATTCCATCTTTAGCTGACACAAATAAACTGGATGGTTTGCCCACTCGAGAGCATGCCACGTATAATTGTCCGTGTGAAAAATATGGTGTGCTCAAATCTAAGACACAAACAGACATTGTTTGGCCTTGTAATTGCAAATGCCAATCTAATGGGGAACTGAATGCGTTTAAATTGAATTGGCACATCTGTGGGTACAATAGGGATTCGTGGCAGTAATATACTTTCACCCCGGAATTTGTCATCTAAAATAATGACTTCGATAACATTGTTCATTAATTTTTTAACGACTAATCGCGTGCCGTTGCACAGCCGTGGTAGGTTCAAAATACGAAGCAAAATAACCGGAGATCCAACTCTGAGTACTAAATTATGCGGTGGTATGCCTGGTAAATCCAATGAGTTTAAAAACTCTGTTGGAAAATTTGCAGCTTCAATAGGATCGCAAACTGCATCAACGGATTTATATGTCACCAAGTTACCTGGCAATAACTGTTTTATCTTCAGATTCAATTCGATGACGTTCACATATTTTGCTGCTGAAATCGTCCTTTCTGCCAGCCACTCATGATGAATGTATTGTGTGTGTACATCGGAAAATATTAGGTTAATGAGAGCATCTTGTGAATCAATGATTATGCAGAAATCGTCCAGTAATTTTATGCATCCAGTCTCATCCTTAGTAACTTTTCCATCACCGATATCTAACAATTGTTTTGAGAATGTTTCAGCAGATGAATCTTGAAGCATTCGGACACGCATATTTACTTTTAGTTGAACTTTTTCAACATTACGTCACAGTGGAGATGATTTCAAGCAAGCATTGATCTCATCAGCGTACGCGGAATGACGGGAAGTGTTTGTCTGAAATCACCTGAAAGGAGTAACAGAGTGCCGCCAAATAATTTGTCATTGTTTTTATATCTTTCAATGTCCTGTTCAACGCTTCAAGCAAATGTTTGTGTGCCATAGTGCATTCATCCCAGATGATAATTTAACAGTGTTTCAACACTGTGGGCATAAACGATTGCTTTTTGATGTTGCACACTGCATCTGGGTTGTTTTGAATATTTAGTGGCAGCTTAATTACTGAATGAGCTGCTCTACCACCATCCCATAAAGTTGTCGCAATGTCAGAAGATGCAACGGCCAACGCGATGCCATTATTTGATCGTATTTCAGCGAGAATTAGCGAAATAATAAATGTTTTGCCAGTTCCACCTGGTGCATCCAAAAAAAAATCCACCTTGTCCTGCAGAAACTGCGAGCATAATGCGGTCATAAATGTTCTTTTGTTCCTCATTCATTAGTGGAACACTGCGAGTAACAATCGTTGCCATTTCTATCGTATTGTATTGAAGTTCACGATTCATGTCAGTGTTTAATAAATCAGATGCACTTCGATTTGGCGAAGACATACGGAAGTGACTGACTGGCAAGTTGCCAACAATAATACAAAGATCTTCAATAGCAATCAGTGCGTTATTGTACATAGCATGGCTGAATGCTATCGTTAGATCGTTGCAACGTGTGCGATGTTGATACCGTATATCATCAGTCATCGAATCATTGTGATTATCCCAAAACGTTTCCATACGGGCCGGGAAACATGTAGTTAATACTATAGCAAATAGTAGACAAAGCAGTTCTATGCTGCTTCAGCAAGCATACATTCCCACTGGTTGTCATCTTCCAGCAAGCCGAGTGCAAGGCATGCATCTTTGTACGTTGGATGCTGATGTCCATCGACTTTACGTATATCGTGAAATGACAATGAGCCGGTGACATTAACCAACAACAGTCGAAAATAAAAACACTCAATCTGCCTTGGATTAACTGTAAATACTCTCCCCCTAAAGCGTTTGATTTGAATAAACCGGGACATGCACCAACCGGTGTGCCTTGCATGCGGGGTGTCCATTTTTTTGTTTGAACCCATGTGAAATAGTGAGGTACTTCTGAGTAGAGTAATGTCCGTGGAAAGGCACCAAAAGCGTCCGCACGATTACACAATTCAAAAAAATTCGATGAGTGTAGTTTTTGGTGGATTTATAACTCGGTCTATCGCTGTCTCGTTCATGAAATATACGCGCTGTTTTCAAGATGGACGGTTAAATGAATAAAGGTTGGATCCCGTTCATGAATTAGGAATCCAAAGATACGCCAAATAGCTTCATTGGAGCTGATGTACCGGCCAATATGGTACAGCGTTAGTTCATCGTTGTTATTCACTGGAACTGCAGTCACATTGGTATTTTCAACTCGAAATACTGCCATATCACTGCCTTTATTCACATACTTGCAAATATATTTGATGCTTTTCTTTTAAGGGCGAGCATGAGTATTAGAGTTTAATGTGATTTGTTGCAACGTGAGTGAATATTACTTTTCATTAATTATGTTTCTATGTCTAGTTTGAAATCGTTTAAATAAAGATAAATTTAAAATATACGTTAAATTTGTCCAAGGAATGAAAAAAAAATTAGTTATAAACCTATTCTCAGACCTACTGAATCTTACTATTCGCGATCGCAACGCTCG